TTGATTTGTTAGAATTTTTTTTGTGGAGTGTGTTGCGCATTTTCTTCCATATAAAATTCTTGGGAGCTTTGTGCTTACACGAGCGCCTTGGCATATGCAACGGATTTGTGCCCATTAGCGGCAGCACAGTTAGTGAATCGCGCAATCGTTACTGCAAATAGGGCATTCGCACGAGGCGATTTTACAGGCAACAAAAGTTGAATACGTAGTTGAATGAGAAGTTGAAAGTGAAAAAGTTGCCATCCCTATTCAGACGAGGCGATTTTGGACTCAACACGAATCGTTATTTACATTATTGAAAATGAATTTAAATCGCAAAATTTTATTAATCGGCGTAAATTTGGTAAGCCAAGCGTTGGTAGAAGTGCTTTTAGCGAAGCTGAAAGGTAAAATAAGAGTAAAAAAGAAAAAAAAGTATGTATACAGAACAGTGTTGGCATTTTTGGTACAATTGTACTTGTTTGATACAATTTCATTTACAATATACTTTCCTACTACGCAGTACTTTTTAGTAAAATATTGTAATGAATACTAAAAATATATAGCTCTGAAAATTCACAGTTCGCCTGTTCGTATGTACATTTGTAAGTTTTGAAAAATGGCTTGAACGAACCAGTATAACATAGCCTAGGTAAATTTTTAAAGAAACTTTTCGATACTAAGTTTTATTAAAACAAAATGTCAAAGTCAGCTTCATATAAAAACAAAGTCTTCGTTAGTTTTAAGAAGAGATTTTCTTAAATATAATACTTTTACGGCATTCACATATTGACAAGGTTTTACTATTTATTTTATTATTCTTTAATTTTAATTATCTGTTTATAAACTATAATGTATTCTTTAAGAAAAACTGTATAAACCCAAGATTAAATCTTTGCGAAACATCCAAAAACCAACATACTGTCGTAAAAATTTCGAGCTTTATTAATATTCTTTAGTTTTTAGCCCATTCAATTTTAGTATAATAAAGTGCAAGTTTAAAGTAGCTGGGACTTACCGTTGAACTTGGCAATTTTGTTTTGTCGACGATGTCAGCCATTTTCTTCCATACGAAGTGTGTTCGACGATTTTTTTATATGGAGGAAATTAGCAACACCTTCATCAAAGAAATCTTAAAAAACTTAGTTATATTAAAATTTAATGGGCTAAAAAACCATACACTCAAAATAAATCTAGGAAATCGAATTAAATCGATCGAAATTTTTACGAAAGTGTGTTGGTTTTTTTAATGTTGCACAAAAATAATTAAAATTGAGTAATATTAAGATAAATGGTCAAATCTTCTCGTAAAGTTTTGATAAGCACTTGAAATTCTATTAAAATGTCAAATTTTAGTACTGAATCCAAAGAAAATGTCTCTTTTATCCATTAATAATAACTTAAATATGCTTTTTGTTAAGATGTATACCTGAAAATGTGTGCATACATATTTGCGTTAAATGCAATACATGTGCACGTGGAATCAATTTGTAAAAGTGTAAAATACGTAAACGTATGAACATAAACAATAAAACTTTCTCATGAATACCCTAAAATCATTGGTCTTGAAGGGAATGTACTAAGAAAATATATGAGCGAATTAAAAAGTGTATACAATTTATAGCCGAAAAGTATATTTTTTGTATAGATTTTGTACTGAAGGAACAATTTCATATCCCAACACTGATACAGAATGTAAACAAACACACAATTTTAGGTACATTTGGAACGTAGCCAAATAACTTCTCAGGAAATTAGTTCTTATTAACCAACTTCCAAAAAAGGGGGAGGTTATCAGTTCGTCGGAATATTTATTTACTTTTTATTTTTTTTTTTTTTTATGTATGCTACCGCATAACTTTGGACCACGTCAACCGATTTCGGTAACTCTTTTTGCATCGGAAAGGTAGTATCTCAGGAGTGGTATCATACTAATCTGGTTAAGATCCAGTTGGTGGATCATGAGATACATATATATGTATATATATTTTTTTTTATATGAGAATTGAAGTCGGTTTTTTTTTTGCTAAAAATTACTTGTTTTTATTAACATTTCAATGTATTTGCGGGTGCGGGCAACTGGTCTAATAGCTTCCCTCTTTTGTAAAGGAGCATACAAATGATAATTTTTATCAAATCTTTATCGAAACTAGCTCACAAATAAAAACTTCCTTTTTTTCTAGGTACGAAAATATAGCTTATCATGTGTATATCGCTAATTTAATACGGAAACTTATAAATTTTTAGGAAGAACCTACAATTTTGCAGCGAAGAGAAGCAAAAACAAAACACCAAGACAGAGAACTGTGAAATCGAATTAAGAATGTGCCAGTGGGATTGGTGTAGTTCGCACATATGTACATAAATAAGCGAAATGTTCATACGTTAGATGAAAATTGTGCACAAGAAAATTAACGAACGCAACTTGAGTTAGAGTTTACTTGCATACGGCAATTTGGTCGGGCAACACATGAAGCGCCTATCAAATTCTTTAAATTTCCGTCTATAATCTTTCAGAACTTTAAGCGCGATCGTATCAAGTAAATGGCTGAAGTTTTGTGTCTGCATAAAGAAAAAACAGTGTTGCCCCATGAACCAAAAATACAAGATCACCGAAGAACGATGTTGTATTTGTAACTGGTTTTGAGCTGAGCGTTTGTTTACATCACAAGCACCAACATTTTTTATTTAACTAAAATTTTTTATTTTAACTAAAGTCGAAATCACCTCTTATTTGACAACAACAAAAATGAAGAGTGGTTTGTAAACACAACAAACGTCGAGTTTCCTCAAGATGTAAAAATGCTTTTGTCAAAAGGTCCAAAGTTTGCTCTCCCAATTGAAAATAAACAGTTCCCTTTATTTAAATACATAGCGGATGGAGAGGATCTCGTGCAAACAATCAAAGTCAAAGAGAAGCAAGAGGAAGCAAGAACAAAATTCTCTTTACTGATAAAAGACCATACTACAACAAATAGGCAAAGTGCAATAGATCGTGCAATAATAGACACAGTGGGACGGACGCGGAAATTTCTTAGCAAAAATGATAATATTCGTATTTTAACTTCGGACAAGGGCAACAAAACAGTAGCAATGGAAATATGTGACTATAATAAGAAAATGGAAGATATATTGAACGACTTGACAATGTATAGGATACAAAGACAGGATCCCACATCTAGACTACAGAGCAAAAACAATAGTCTAGTCGATAAAATTTATAAATTGGAGTTAATTTCAAAGATCGAGAGGAACAAACTCACCACAAACACGGCCCTGTCTCCAAGGATTTATGGACTACCAAAATTACATAAAGAAGGAATCCCACTTAGACCAATATGCTCTGCCACCGGATCACCAGCACATAACCTTTGTAAATATGTAGCAGACATTTTGAAAAATATAACGACTGTTTCGGCATACAACATTAAAAATACCCTGGAATTTAAAAGCAAAATTAATAACACCTATATTTTTGACGATGAAAAATTAATATCTTTTGACGTAGTATCACTTTTTCCCAGTATCCCAACACAATTAGCACTTGACATTATAAAAGATAAATGGACGACAATAGAGAAACACACAAATATACCAAAGAAACTGTTCATAGAAATACTTAAGTTCTGCATCGAAGAGAACAGATATTTTAAATTTAACGACACAGTATACACTCAGCTAAAAGGATTGCCGATGGGGTCACCAACCTCCCCAGTGATAGCTGATATAGTCATGGAAGAATTATTAGAAAACACAGTTAAAAAGTTAGCACGTCCACCTAGATTACTAACAAAATACGTTGATGATCTATTTGCAATAATACGTGAAGATGAAGTACAAAGCACACTTGACAAACTAAATTCCTTCAATAAAAATATAAAATTCACAATAGAACTTGAGGACGACGGAAAATTGCCTTATTTGGACTCTATGATTATTAGAAGAGGAAATGAACTGAAACTAACGTGGTATAAGAAACCCACATCAAGCGGACGAATCATCAGTTTTAACTCAAAGCATCCAAAGACGATGATTATAAATACAGCAATGGGCTGTATACGGCGAATGTTACGGATAACAGATGACACTTACCACACAGAGATTAAGAATGAAATTAAAATATTATTAAAAAACAATGATTTTCCCGACAATATTATAAAAACCCTGTTAAGAAGATATGCAATTGAAAATAATCACGATAAATTAAAAACCACAAAAATATTCAAGTCAGTAGCTTATGTACCAAAATTATCAGAGCGTTTGGTAAAGTCAGATTGCTACAACACAGAAGATATAAAAATAGCCCATAAACCAACCAATACGCTAAAATATATGTTTAATAAAACAAAAACAAAAATACCGCCGTTGGAAAAAAGTAATGTAGTTTACCAAATCCCTTGCAATGGAAAAGAAAATGAACCATGTGATAGCATATATGTGGGAACAACAAAAGGAAAATTAAAATCACGACTATCACAGCATAAATCAGACTACAAATATTGCCATCAAAATAATAACCAAAAAACAGCACTCATGGCCCACTGTACCAAAAACTCACATACACCGAACTTCGACAGAGCGATCGTGCTCCAACAAGAACAGCATTATAGCAAGAGATTCACTTTGGAAATGCTGCACATTATAAATACACCAACAAACAACCGAATGAACTATAAAAGCGACGTCGATGCTAACTCGGCACACTTGTACCGACATTTGTTGACAAACAGAAAACCAGTGTAAAACACCACGTCAACTGATGCGGACGCTCAAATAAATGTATGTAATTATTGTTTTGCAATTTGTTGTGTTAAAAATATGTATGTAAATTGTTATTATATTTTTGTGTTTATATTTTGTTGTAGTTGAAAATCCTGATGACGATTACCGTGTGTAATCGAAATATATTGATTAACATCACAAAACTTGTGTTTTAATTTAAAATCATCGGACCTCAAGCCAGCTTCTAAACACATTTAGGAAATAAAAAGGTCGCAAAAACAAATATTTAGAAAGACGGAAGGCACGCCGTATGCATTCAACAACAAAAATGGAGTATGCAGAAATGAAGAACAACTACAACAACGCTAGAGCACTAATAAATAAATTTCAATATACATCAAAGAAAGTGGTAAAACAAAAATGTAGTCTTAAATTTCTTTTAAAATGCAGGAAATCTAAGTTAGTTCCTAATTTCATAAAATGTACAACTAGATGCAATAGTTTATTTATATTTGATCGTAACGCACAAACAGACATAGACAGAACCTTAGATAAACACACACATTACTTTCACACAAAAATACTAAGTCTTCTAATAAAACAAAAACACAACATATTAAAACGACAGAAACAGCAGATGGAGCAAATAACAACAAAACTTAAGGAACATCTTGGCGCGGAAGATTTTGAAATATTATTGCAAAGCGAAACAAAAATCGCAGAAAAATTAACAACAACAGTGAGGCAACGACAAGAAGCGAAGTATGAAAAACTGCGAAAAAGTCGAAATCACCTCTTATTTGACAACAACAAAAATGAAGAGTGGTTTGTAAACACAACAAACGTCGAGTTTCCTCAAGATGTAAAAATGCTTTTGTCAAAAGGTCCAAAGTTTGCTCTCCCAATTGAAAATAAACAGTTCCCTTTATTTAAATACATAGCGGATGGAGAGGATCTCGTGCAAACAATCAAAGTCAAAGAGAAGCAAGAGGAAGCAAGAACAAAATTCTCTTTACTGATAAAAGACCATACTACAACAAATAGGCAAAGTGCAATAGATCGTGCAATAATAGACACAGTGGGACGGACGCGGAAATTTCTTAGCAAAAATGATAATATTCGTATTTTAACTTCGGACAAGGGCAACAAAACAGTAGCAATGGAAATATGTGACTATAATAAGAAAATGGAAGATATATTGAACGACTTGACAATGTATAGGATACAAAGACAGGATCCCACATCTAGACTACAGAGCAAAAACAATAGTCTAGTCGATAAAATTTATAAATTGGAGTTAATTTCAAAGATCGAGAGGAACAAACTCACCACAAACACGGCCCTGTCTCCAAGGATTTATGGACTACCAAAATTACATAAAGAAGGAATCCCACTTAGACCAATATGCTCTGCCACCGGATCACCAGCACATAACCTTTGTAAATATGTAGCAGACATTTTGAAAAATATAACGACTGTTTCGGCATACAACATTAAAAATACCCTGGAATTTAAAAGCAAAATTAATAACACCTATATTTTTGACGATGAAAAATTAATATCTTTTGACGTAGTATCACTTTTTCCCAGTATCCCAACACAATTAGCACTTGACATTATAAAAGATAAATGGACGACAATAGAGAAACACACAAATATACCAAAGAAACTGTTCATAGAAATACTTAAGTTCTGCATCGAAGAGAACAGATATTTTAAATTTAACGAAACTGTATACACTCAGCTAAAAGGATTGCCGATGGGGTCACCAACCTCCCCAGTGATAGCTGATATAGTCATGGAAGAATTATTAGAAAACACAGTTAAAAAGTTAGCACGTCCACCTAGATTACTAACAAAATACGTTGATGATCTATTTGCAATAATACGTGAAGATGAAGTACAAAGCACACTTGACAAACTAAATTCCTTCAATAAAAATATAAAATTCACAATAGAACTTGAGGACGACGGAAAATTGCCTTATTTGGACTCTATGATTATTAGAAGAGGAAATGAACTGAAACTAACGTGGTATAAGAAACCCACATCAAGCGGACGAATCATCAGTTTTAACTCAAAGCATCCAAAGACGATGATTATAAATACAGCAATGGGCTGTATACGGCGAATGTTACGGATAACAGATGACACTTACCACACAGAGATTAAGAATGAAATTAAAATATTATTAAAAAACAATGATTTTCCCGACAATATTATAAAAACCCTGTTAAGAAGATATGCAATTGAAAATAATCACGATAAATTAAAAACCACAAAAATATTCAAGTCAGTAGCTTATGTACCAAAATTATCAGAGCGTTTGGTAAAGTCAGATTGCTACAACACAGAAGATATAAAAATAGCCCATAAACCAACCAATACGCTAAAATATATGTTTAATAAAACAAAAACAAAAATACCGCCGTTGGAAAAAAGTAATGTAGTTTACCAAATCCCTTGCAATGGAAAAGAAAATGAACCATGTGATAGCATATATGTGGGAACAACAAAAGGAAAATTAAAATCACGACTATCACAGCATAAATCAGACTACAAATATTCCCATCAAAATNTCACGACTATCACAGCATAAATCAGACTACAAATATTGCCATCAAAATAACATAAACATAAACAGCACTCATGGCCCACTGTACCAAAAACTCACATACACCGAACTTCGACAGAGCGATCGTGCTCCAACAAGAACAGCATTATAGCAAGAGATTCACTTTGGAAATGCTGCACATTATAAATACACCAACAAACAACCGAATGAACTATAAAAGCGACGTCGATGCTAGCTCGGCACACTTGTACCGACATTTGTTGACAAACAGAAAACCAGTCTAAAACACCACGTCAACTGATGCGGACGCTCAAANAAACAGAAAACCAGTGTAAAACACCACGTCAACTGATGCGGACGCTCAAACAAATGTATGTAATTATTGTTTTGCGATTTGTTGTGTTAAAAATATGTATGTAAATTGTTATTATATTTTTGTGTTTATATTTTGTTGTAGTTGAAAATCCTGATGACGATTACCGTGTGTAATCGAAATATATTGATTAACATCACAAAACTTATGTTTTAATTAAAAATCATCGGACCTCAAGCCAGCTTCTAAACACATTTAACTAAAGAAGAGTTAATTCAACATGACAACACATTTTGAAGCATTTCAATGCATCATTTTACATAAATTGTGTGTTTAAAGTGACTGACAATTATTTTCGCTAAATTGTTTCCTTTGCTTCTTTTCCTTTAGGTCGTTTTCCAGCGAAACAAGATGACGTACAACCCGCTCAAAATATCGATTTTTTTCACTCTCTTGTTCTTACGTGATCTTGTGTCGTTCGTGATCGAAACTAAGAAGCAGCCTTAAACTCGCACCGAAAAACTGGTCGGTAGTTTAAACTTAGTTTAAATTTAGACTGAGTTTAACTAAACTTCATTTAAACAAAGTTTAAACCAGCACTGAAAAACTGGCCCTAACAGTTTTTTCAGAGGCTCTCAAGTGTCCCTATAAAACTAGGAAACTCTGCCCCCACGGGAATGACGTCAAGCACTACATCGTGAGGGAGAAAAGTAGTTAATCGCCCCTTCATCGCCTCTGCTATTGCAACACATGCTGCCTACCATTTTTCGCTGCTTAGTAGCATAGCCTCCACGTGGTACTCATAGGGACACGATATCGAACAGAAAGTATCGATATGGTACTCATTTAAAGTATCGCTTTAAAAATATCGGGTACCCATAAATATCGGAATAAAAAGACTCAATATTCCAAATATCGATACCAAAATCCAAAAAATTTATCTGAATATAGGTCTCGTATAAAGGCCGCTGTGGTGTAATGGTTAGAAGTGCGCAAAGCTTGAAAATTAAAAACAGCTTCCCAGTAAAACATAATCGCCGTTCAGAGTCGACCTAAAACTGTAGGGACCCCTTTTGTGCCACAACATTAAGGCGCGAGCGACAAATCGGAGGAGAATCTCGGTCAAACACTAACATATTGTGTAGCAACACGTAGAGATTGAGGTGTTGACTTAAAACACCGAGGCCGCGGGTTCAAATTCCACCACATGCAATCCTAACTATATTACAAATTTCTGCTCTTTAAAGTCCAATTTACATCGGGAAGAATTGTTAATAACATTATCCTTGTAATGTGAGTTTATGACATTCGATACGATACTAGGGTTCTGGTACTCGATTCCAAAAAAGATCGTTTTAAAACTATCGAGTAGAAAATATCGGTATCGAATGCCAAAAGTATCGATATGGTATCGTATCGTATCGAAATTCGTGTCCCTAGGTACTCAGGTGTGAAACTCTCGCCAGACACGTTGCGAAGCTTGCATCTGTACTGTCAAATCGCATACACTTAAACAAGACGTTTTGTATTACATCTCCTCCGTAAAAGTCGCGTCGTCACGCAAGCGAGATTCTCCAGCACTTGGAGACGGCCGGTAAAGTTGAGTACATCGTGCGCTATGGGCAAAACTNGTATCGATATGGTATCGTATCGTATCGAAATTCGTGTCCCTAGGTACTCAGGTGTGAAACTCTCGCCAGACACGTTGCGAAGCTTGCATCTGTACTGTCAAATCGCATACACTCAAACAAGACGTTTTGTATTACATCTCCTCCGTAAAAGTCGCGTCGTCACGCAAGCGAGATTTTCCAGCACTTGGAGACGGCCGGTAAAGTTGAGTACATCGTGCGCTATGGGCAAAACGAATAGCATTTTCTGTTCTCAAAAAAAGTTTTGCCCCTTTATATGGGAACTCTTGCTTTGCATTTCCCTGAACCTTGAGAATATGTTGTGTTCTTTATATGAGAATGAAACAGAAAATATGCTACTCCATCACAAGTTCATATATAGAACTTAATAAAATTGATTTATTCACTTGCCCTGTAAGTCTTTAATTAATTCATAGGAAAACACTTATTTCTGATAAGGAAAATAAATTTATTTTTACATGCGTAAATTAAAAATCCACCGAGCAACTCTCACCCTCCCGTTTATTAGAGGGCAGAAAAGGCAGCACTTTTGCCGGAGCAGAGCGCAACCTGCTGAGATAAGAAGACGACGGCCTGTGAAAGGGCTGAGAAAAAAACAAAAAAATTTGACAGCGCTAACACAGTGCAGAATAAGTGCAGCCTTTTTTCGAGGAAAGATAAAAAATTATGTATATTTTCAAAAAATTTCGAGACGGTGCTTAACAGGCTAACCTAATATTCGCGGCTGCGTTTTGGTACCCACGCCGTCGAATTTTTCTTTTTTTTGCGTCACTCGAATTCGGCTTGCGTGCATTTGCATTTGATTTCATTGAGCGAAACGTTAAATCAAAATGTCACGCAGAACAAAAATTTGAAATTGAGTTAGCGGAACAAATACAGAATAGCTCCGATTCTCAAATAAAAAAAGTATTGGGATCTATGGAGATGATTGAGCTGAACATAGCGGTATAATTGCGGAAACAACAACTACAAAAGTTATTAAGGGTCAAAGTTCAAATTAAACACTTCTTAAATCAAAATTTCTTAAAACGACCCTGCAGTAAATCGCGCTAGTTCACAACTAGCGCAAAACTAGCTATTTAAGAGGCGGTACTGGTTCTCGATCTATTCCAACGCAATGCTTTCAACCAAGTGGAAATCTCAATTTTTCTTTTCTTTTACAGATTGCATTTTATTTAATTTTCTTATTCTTTTATTTTATTTATATTAAGTTTAATCATTTTATCTTCAATTTTAAGCGCCACTCAACAATTTAAAATTATTTAATCTGAAAATCACAACTGCCTCCACCGCGATTTGAACTCGCGACCAACGATGTTAGAGTCAGAGGTCTCCCCGCTGACCTATTTTAGTATTGTAGGAGAAGTGAGAATTTGTGCATTTAATTCCCAATAGAGCCCAACTAGCACACCAAAAGTTTAAACTGTCCCTCTCTGCAGCCGTTTTGAACTACTTCAGAGATAGTTCTGAAATGTATAGGGCGGGACTACCGCTTTAACAGACTGTCTCTAACTTTTACTGCTAACTTTACATGCATACATATATACATTAGACTGCATCACCAAATAAAAATGCTGGGTTTCCACCGGGATTACAAAACTTATTATATTCTAAGACGTCCACCAAAATATTTCGGAAAAATATTAAGATTTAAGCGAGCGCGACCAATTTGAAAATACTTCAAAAAATGGAGTTTGTTATGAATAAAAATAGTATAGTTTTTGAAAAAAGTCCCCTCAGATGACAAAACAGATTAAGCTTATCTGCTTAAAAATATTTAAAAATCTTTTCAACGCAATCGTTGTAATGAGATTTTTGATGCTGTTTTCATACTTTTTTCAAAGACTGATTTTCGAAAAACTTAAATAACTGGGCCAAAACTATTCTGATTTAGACTTACGGGATCTCGACAGAATGGTATTTTCCTAATATTTTTATTTATGTGCAAAAAAATGTCATTCGTGTCCCAATTGTTTTTTTTTTCAAATACTAACACATCTTAATTCAACTTTGAATGATGTTCGTTAATCCTACCTTTCTCTTGCATCCTTTGAATGAGGTTATTAGCAAAGTGAGAAAATACCTTTCCAATGATACCTCACAAGTCTAAAGCGGAAGAGTTAAGGTTCAGTTATTCAAGTTTTTCTTATGCCAATCTTTGAAAAAAGTTAAAAAACAGCATACAAAATCTCATGATGTTGATTACTTTAAAAAAGGCTTACTTTATTGAGTCACAAAAAGTAATTACAAAATTGCTAAATTATTCTGCGTTAAAAGGTCATCGAAAAACATCCGATCCCGTTATGAGAAAAAGAAAGAAGAAAGAGGCATAGATCGAAACGTAAATGTCACAGCGTCACTTGCACTAGTGTTGGCGTGTTAGCATTCCACTGATAGGCACAGGCTTGCATCAATTCGTAACATTCCGCCCACCTTGACCAGGACCTGCGATGAATCTGATGCCTTCCGACCATGTAGGTCTCAGTGTTCTCCAAGAGGTAGTACCACCAGTTTTGATATGGCTCGCTTGATGATGGAGGCCGACGTACGAATAGTAGCAACTCTGACGAAGCCAACATCCGTTGGGTTGGTGGAGCGCGCTCGTCGCATACTAAGACCAAGTCGCCGGGCGATAGGTTGGCACTTGTTTGACGCCACTTGCGCCGGACTTGTTACTCGCGCAGATACTCGCATCGATACATCCATCGACTCCAAAAGTTTTGATACATTTGCTGCAACTGTCTCCATCTTTTAAGGCGGTTTGTGTTGACATCAAACAGTGTTGGTTCAGGGACGGCAATTAACGGGCCGCCCACCAAAAAGTGGCCCGGAGTAAGTGCAGCAAAGTCGGTTGCATCATCCGTTAAAGCGGATATCGGCCTGGAATTAAGCACCGCCTCAACCTGTTTAAGCACGGTGTAAAACTCCTCGAACGTAAGCGTTGCGTTTCCAATGATTCGCTTTAAATGATGCTTCATGCTCTTAATACCCGCCTCCCAGATTAGGAGACCCAGGCGGGATAAAGTGCCATTATATTCCATGAGATGTCAGCTGCGTCAAGTTGTTGTCGCAAAGCGTCTAAATGAATTTCTCGGGAACTGAAGCATACAAAACGGGAAACATACCCCTTGTAGCTGTGATGGCCCCTTCCCTTGGTGGTGCGAATTTGATAGGGTCCACCGTAATCGAGGCCACAGTGACTAAACGGCTTTGCCACGTGACAGCGTTGAGTGGGAAGGCTCCCCATGATTTGGTATGCTGGAACGCCCCTGTGGCGAACACATCGCACACAGTGACGAATAAAGCGTTTGATCGCTGAACGAGCAACAACCATC